GATAAAGGGACCGAAGGCAGGACTTTTATTTTTTATTTTCCCACATTTAGTCGTCTGTTGTTGTGCTCAATTTATCCGGTAGATTGCCTGAAAGTCTGGCGCGCTATGAAAGTCATCAACCATAAAAAAGGTGAACAAAGTTTTAGCTTTTGAAAACAATATGCAGTGCAGAGAAGTGTGTTGTTCACCAAGCTAGCTCAGTGTTGCGTTGATTATTTGTCTTTTTTCTGTTCATGGTGGGATGTCAACTGGGAAAATGTTGAAAACCATCTTTAATGCCCTCTCAGAAATGTACCTACTTGAACTCAAAAGCCCCTCTGATAGATATTTTTCCTCCGTGCAGACCAAGCAGAGTGTCTAATATCTGTGCTGACAGAATGAGGGAGGCAGGGGGTGGGATAGATGGAGAGGGAGAGAACACGTGTGTGATGGGTTTCTTGTGGGCAACGTGACCGCAAAGAAAGAGAAGGAGGAGGAGGAGGAGAAGAAGGCAGGGAAGGAATACAAGACAAAAACTCTGTAGCGCAAGTAAATGACACTGTGAGGCAGTAATCAGTCGAGGGATGATGGATGGAAGGACAAATTAAGCATTCTTTGTTTTCTCTTCAATCTTTATCATTGGTAGAGCCAACAGATACTGGATGTTTTCAGGCATTACCTGTATTTGGGAAGTGAAACCTTTAGATATGGATAGATTGGCTGTTGTATTGGAACAGGAAAATAAATGGGTCACTGTTAACTTTCCATTTCATAAACTAGTAAGCAACTTACGGTGAAGACACGACTTGACTCCGCACCGCCGTCTGTTCGACTGTGATTCACAGCATACACACAAATACCAAGAAGTCTGGAGACTGTAAGAGAAATTGGTAGGGACATAACTGTAGGAAGCTCTCTGTAGTGTTCAGGCAACGCAGAATACAAAGCCGACCACATGACAGCAACAAGGCAGAGGTTGTTTGGATCTTGCAGTGCTGGCATGCTGATGACCATCGCTAATGAAATTAGAGCGAGCATGTGGTGATGTCAGTATCTGCAGACTAGAGTTGGACTGAGAGAGCTGATGGAGGAAGACGGATAACACGATTTGTGCATTGAAACTGCTGATAACGTACACATTCCTAGAAATATTTACTGTGTTTTCATGTGACTGCATCAGGATAGTGTATAGAACAATAGACCAGTATGCATGCATGAATAAAAGCATGACACTGGAACCAGTCCAGTTAGATTCCCATCAGACAAACCGTTAAAAAAAATAGCTGCAACATTTCAGAAGATTTTTTATAAAAAGGCAATAATTACTACAAGCTAATTTATTACTGTTTGGGGGAAATGAAGTGACTTATAGATTTGTGCGGTTCACATAAACCAAACTTCTTTTTTACTTAAATACTTGCATCATGTTTCTGTGGAGAGGTTGAGTTTGTGACTGGTGTCAGTGCAACACAGATATCTAGCAAAGTTTGCAGTCAACTCTCTTTGCATAAACTGGGCCAGTAGAGTCAAGGCCTGATTTAATATTCAGCAAACTGTTTTCAGCTGCATGTTTTCCTCCCTGAGTTTAGAGATCTGTTACTGTGCAGCTTTCTACAGTCCACACTTCTTCCTCTGAGTCGAGTTTTCCTCAAAACTTCAGAAAACTTGAGAAATGCTTACGGGGGTAAGCAGCACTTCTCATTTCGCTCTTAGAGGAAGGGATGAGCTCGGATTTACTGCACTAGTGATTCTTCACATATGAACTGTACTTTATATTTGCATACTGACTGCTGTCTTCTCATAGTTTTTTTTCTTTATGCAGTTTATCACTCTTTGTCACTCACTCACAAACTTTTTATTCTGGGTTAAAGTCACGCTGTCAGTTCACATATGAGAAGGGCGTGATTAGCTTAAAACAAACACTTCCTTCACACGTTCACGCTGTCGTGATCTTTTCAGCTGTGGTGCTAATGAGGGTGTGGTCATAGTATGAATAAAGGCTTGGAGATGAGTCAACTGCAGTAGTGTGTGTGTATATATGGATTAATTAATACTTATTTAATTCAGCATCATTAGTACATCCTGCCTTCAGCCATGCAGAACCTAAAATTAATGGGCATTCTGGTGATTTCCATAATTTTATTGTCACGCCTTCTGAGAATTCTAGTTTTTAAAAAAAAGACAGACAAATGGAATATAACTTCCATATCATTATCCTAGATATGATCATAACAGCCTACACGTTATGTTTAAATTTCAAAAAGTGCAGTTTTCAGATTGCAAAGCTTGAGGGAAGGTGGTTACTATGACTGATTTGGTTTAGGTTGTGTTATGCTCTGCATTAGGGATGAAGGATGATATTTGCACTTAATCTGTGTGTTCCCATAAAAGCTTTCACATGAAATAATGGCATCAGGCCCAAAATGAACATTTACAAGTAGATAATCCATCCGTCTGTGTTCTATACACCGCTTTACATTTGTATGGTTGGCAGTTGGCCAAAATGAGATGGAAAATATCAGCATGTTGAACATCAGCAAAAAATCCGCCCCTTCTCTGTATTATTTTGAGGTATGAAAAGATAAAGTTTAGTTTTTTTTTCCCTTGCCCTTCAGAAAATGCAACAAAGTGGAATTTTTGAGCATTTATAAATGATAATAGTTGTACTGTTTTAACACGTTCTGATTCTTTGAAAGGGCTGAATTTCTACCTGCCGAATAACTAATTTACCACCAGTTGTTCAGCCTAACAACAGACTGATGCACACAGATACAAGACTGTGTCCTTGAAAGGTCTTTGAGAGTGTTTTTTTCTGTTTAGCCTTGAATTGTGGACTTTGAAGGGAAGCAGCCCCCGAAACAGGACTCGTCTTGTGTCCTTTCTCAGTGTCTCTCTCTGTCTAACGCAGCAGCGGTAACAGCTGGAGTGAAATGGGAGTGATGCAGTGTTGAGGCTGCAGCAGCTCTGCATACTGTTGTGTGCTAAAAGCTGCAGCTCATGTGTTCAGGCAGAACTGACGGCAGCTGATAACACTCACAGACACAGACGGGTTTCCACCTCACAGGATTAAGCTCAGAATATCTCTAACTACTGTCCGATGAAGCAGGAAGACACAGTTCTTCCACATTTACCGCCGACCTTGGAGGATTGATTTTAGTCTCTTCCTCCATCAGTTTTTATTTTTAGCCTTAAGTGCAGACAAATAATCAGCAGAAGAATACATGACGGGGTTAGACACTGAGGTATGTGCTCATTTTATCGAGATTTAACTGTTTCTCACTATTTTTTTAATAACTTTTGCTTAGCTAAAGAAACTTGAATATGTCAACATGGTCTCTGAGAAACAGTTTTCAAGCATTTTACAGACCAAACGATTTATTGATTAATCAAGAAAATAATCCCCAATTTAATCAATATAAAAACCAATCAGTCGTCTTTGGTGATGATGACATAGGAAGTTTGATTCTTCCCACCATGCACGCTACCACAGCAGAATGAAACTTTTACAACACATATCTTAAAGAAATTTTCTGCCTTCAGAGAAAATGTTTGCCTTTTATCACAGCAATTTCATCTTTAGAAAATGTTCCTCGATAATGTTGCCTAAACCAACTCTGTGTACAGTCATCATTTTTAATTTCTTAAAAGAAAGTTGTTCTCTGAACAAGCAGTTTTTGCTGGCCCATGTGTTCATAAAAATATCTTTCCATCCCACCGACAAGATGTTCCACACTGACATTTACTAAAGGACATTTTGTGTGGGAACACATAAGCATCTTAATCCAAGTTGCAATATTCTGCTCCAGTTTCTGTTACTGAGCACAAAACTGCTTAGAATTGGACAGCAAAAAATGTATTATTAATATGCTGTCCAATGTCCAGCCCTGATCCTGTGTGCCTGCACCAGTCACATGGACTGATTTAATCTTGCTCACACACCTTGTCAAACCTCTTCTGTCCACAGTGAGCACACGTTGCAGTGAGTGTGTTCAGATGTGACACGTGTCTCCACACCGTGAACATGACAGTCTTGTGTTTGTAGCCTCAGCTGTGTGGCAGTCAGACAAGTGTGATATCATCATGTAACACGATGCTCGTTAACAGTGTTCACATCAGCAACACAACATTGTTATCAACATACCAACAGAGGTATCGATAACAAGAGCTTTGCTGTAAAGTTTTTTGTTTCTTTTTTACACTTTGCACATCGTCTCTGCATCAATGTGTGTGTGTGTGATATAAATGTATTTATTTATTTAGAGACGATACACAATGCTGATTTTTTTTTGTACAGCATATACTAAAAAGCTCATTTCTGTCTTTAGTCCCTGGGCAGAGGACACAAGTGATGGATAACAGACAGATATGAAGAATTAAACCGCAAATCATTTTTCTGACAAAAAAATGTACTGATTGGCCGACAGAAAACTACAACAATTTAGGTTTCAGTTGTTACAAGGAAACATTGCCTTTCTTTGCTGCTTCTATTTCCTAAAAAAGTGAAAAAAATAACCGACAGATGAATTGATAATGAGAGAAATCAGAGTTGTGGAGTTCAAGCTGAATAATAGAACAGGTTTAAGGGATAAAACGTGCCGCTGAGATATGAAGATTAAGCTGCTGTTGATGTTGTTTCTTTCTTATCGAGTCACTGCTCAACAACAAACAGATGTAACACGTGGAAAATAATTTCTGTATGTCTGCCTTGACCTCAACTAATCACAAAAATTTACATGGATGACAAATGTACTGTAGCTGTGAAAGAGGTCTGCAGGCATAACTGAGACAATATGTGTTGCTTATATTAGGTTTTCCTCAGGCAACAAGAAGCGCAAGTTCATTATGACTCTGAGAACGTTTTCACAGTATGTGGAGAAAAACAGAAGTCACTCATGGAAACTCTGAACATTTGAAACTTGCTGAAATTAGTAATGCCTTACAACCAGCTGATCTGTGATGCTTTATACCAAAAAACAGAAACCACAAAACACATTAAATCTCTGTCCCCGTCTGTTCCCCAGGCCCAGCTGGAGGCCCAGAAGGCCACCCAGGACTTCCAGAGAGCCACTGAGGTTCTGCGGGCAGCGAAGGAAACCATCTCCCTGGCAGAGCAGAGGCTCCTGGAGGAGGACAACCGGCAGTTTGACTCCGCCTGGCAGGAGATGCTGAACCACGCCACTCAGCGGGTGAGGAGGGGGAAGAGTGGGGGGGTTGACTTCAGAAACTGAAGAACAGTGTTTTGGTTTTAGTTCTTTGTTAAACATTTCATTTCTAGCTACACATCCAAACTACTTTTTTTATTTATTTATTTTTTTTAAACTGAACTTAAATGTTCTAAAGATTCCATCTTTAACAAGGCTGGAAACTGTGGAGGCGCTTTGTAGCCTCCTGGGTTTATCTGTATTTTGCAGGTCAAATCGATTTGCCAGAAATTTGCACCACTGAAGTACGATATCAATCTCATTTTGTTGTCAGCGATTTATCAAATTGCAGAATTTGTTTTCTGTGTGTCAAGTGTTTGGGACACAGAAAGCCAAATACGAGGTCTTATTATACGATCACAGAAGTACTGCAAGACTGCAGCCAACAACTATCTTCATTATTCCTCTGCCAAGGCAGGAGCCGAGGCATGTTTTCAGGGCCGTTTTATCTGTTTGCCAGCAAGATAACACAAAAAAATGCAGGCCGATTTTTACGAAGCATGGTGCCGAGGTGGAGCGTGGTCGAAGGAGGAACCCATTAACTTTTGGTGCAGATCCAGATCATTTTTGGCAAGACTGCGCTCCTCTAGGTTTTTTAAATGTTCAGTGCGTAAAATGTCAGAAGATAACACAAAGACTATATGAACTGTATAACACATTGGCCTGTTTGTCTGACTCGCACTGAAAAACTAAAGATATTGAGTTTAACCTCGTAGAAACTAAAAAAAATCTTCATACTAGGATGCTGCTGCTGGGCATTTTGGGGCATTTTTGCTTAAAAGCTGTCACTGCTCGATTTTTTTGTCAGTATAGTTTTTGTGCTGGTGCCCCTTTAGGAAGTTAAATCTAGTCATGATCTTCAGAGGTGCAGATGGTTTTGAATGACCACGTGGTTTGCATGGGACTGAAACCTACGACCACCTGTTAATCTTGTTAAATGGAACTAGTTAATGAAACACTTCAAGGGTGAGTTTCCCAAGACTTGTAGCCATTTGTAAGTGGTTGGCCAACTGCAAGCTCTGATCTGCTGTTACAGGTGATGGAGGCAGAGCACACCAAGACGAGAAGCGAGCTGGTGCACAAAGAGACGGCGGCCAAATACACGGCAGCGATCGGCCGCATGAAGCAGCTGGAGAAGAAGCTCAAACGCACCATCAACAAGTCCAAGTAAGATCCTCAGTCTGCTGTGGCGACGCACCGTAGGATTCAACTGGCAGTACTGCTGTGGCTGTCATGTTTGACTTATCTTAACCCGGCTGCTCCAGTTTGTCTTTTTCTCTCTCTCAGACAAAAAAATACAACTTATAGTATGACTTTTATTGTCATACTCCCAAAACAGTCCACCAAGACTGTAACTTTTCATTTGAAAAGGGCATTCTTAATGTTAAAATCAAATGTCATTTAGCTAACATCAGACTCAGTGACAACCTCCCTGCAGATTCGTATTAATAAAACAAATATGTGTCATGCTTTGACAGACAGACCAAGGCAAAACTTAGGATTATTTTGCATATTTAGACCCAAAAAGAATCTCAATCTGTTCTAATTTACTTGACAAATGTTTGAATTTAGCTACACGACAGTCAGACAGCAGTATTTTCGAGCAGATTCAGCTTCTGGCCTGTAATTAGAGTTGGACATTGTGTTCTTTGCTGGACTGGCATGCAGACACAGCGGGGTGCCGAGCCGCAGACCCTCTAAAGCAGACTGTCAGCGCACGACTGACTGCTGATGGGTGATTTTAGCCAAATGCTCAGCTGCAAACAAAGAAGTAAGGCGTTTATCTTTTCTTTTTATCAGCCCTATTCAAATTATGACACCAGTTGTCGTCCGCGAGGCTCACACACACACTTCAGGACTGAATGTAAAATCCTTAAAATTTAGAGAGTTGTCTCTTTGTCCATCTGTCAGACTTTACTTTCACAGCAGAAAATAGTCTGATCGCAGGTGATGTGGCTTCTGCTTCTTCTGCCAGCCTCAAACCGATCCAGCTGTGCACCCTGCGGTAGTCTGCTGTTCTTATCTGGAAGTGGTTTCAGTTGTGTGTGAAAGCAGCGAGGCAAGGCTATGCTTCTCTATTCCGCTGAAAGTGGCTTCTGTCAGTTCCAACCACATCACACCAGTCTGGTTATGGTGAACAGTCAGGTGTTCAAGGGGAAGTCGAGCTAAATGTGGTGCAGTCACGAGTTGTTGCTCCCCTACATCATCTCATGATAAAAGATGCAGCTGCCATCCTGAGATCCCACTATTAGAAATATCTCAGGTGACATTTAAAATAATCGCTGATGAATAAAAACTGCAGCTCACAAAATTCCCCTCGGTCAGGACTTCTGCACAAGGCTGGGCTCATTTATCACGCACACATAAAAATCTAACTGCCTTGTTCGTCATGTTATTCCAAACAATTCAGAAAAGTGAAACAAATCAACCCTACAGTCTGTCAGATGGTTATTATCCACCAGATTGTGTCATAAAAACACTCAAATAAAAGATTTTATTTCATGACTAAGAGGCATAAGACAACTATTTATTGTCAGAAAAATGTTTTTCACAGACCAGCTTCACCAATCAGCAAACTGAATAATATTCCCATTTTAAAAGGCTGCACATAATTTTCCACTTGGATTTCGTGTCCGTTGTGTTGAGAGTAAATGCAGCTTCCAGTAATGTAGCTGGTGGAGGAAATGCAAATGAGCCGCCTGAGTTCCCAGAATTCATTAGAATAAATGAGGTGGTTATAGAATTGGTCTGTTTAAAAATGTTTGTGAATAAATGAAGAAAAATAAAATGAAGTGCTCTAAATATTAGGACTGCATTTAATTGTTATTTTCACAATTTAATTGTCTGACGTTTACTTTGTTGATTTCTGAGAAATGTGTTTAAAATGCTCGTCACAATTTCTGTGACCGAAAGATGCTGCTGACAAATGATCTGTTTTGTTCAATCACCAGTTCAGAACTTAAAAATATTCAATTCTTTAAGTTAGGACAGGGAAAAGGAAGCACATTTTCATATTTGAAAACCTTAAACTGGAGAATAATCATATTTTTCCCCTAATTGTTGCATCTCTACTAAATACACCGCGAGTCGTGAACGCTTATCTCCAAACCTCCCTGAAGCCTCCCGTCACAATGTCGAGACCACAGCACTTAATTTCCCTGTGGAGTAAAAGTATGTTTGGAGCTTAGAGGTACATTTTTAAACTTAACCTTCTGTAAAACTTTTGTTAATGTACTTAAAAGTTACATAAGACCTTCCCTCAAGTCCCACATCTCCAGCTCATCGCTCAGAGCCTGAGGGCGTCTGTTTCAGCCTCCTGCTGTCACCAATGACTCCCAGAGTCTGAGGCGTCGCTGGTCAAGAAGAGTGAATAGAAAGATGACGTGTTGACAGTTTTGTTTTCTAGCACATAAATAAATTACAGTGTAGTGTTGTAATTAAAACTCTAGTTAAGAAGTATGTAAAGTGCATTTATAAGGAAACTACAGAACAAACACAAAGTTTGTATTTACTGTGTCTGTCCTTGTAGAGGGCTGCAAGGTGGCTCAGTGGTTAGCACCATTGCCTCGCAGCTAGAAGGTTGCCAGTTCGCTTCCCAGTGAGGACACCTGGGATCTTTCTGCGTGGAGGTTGCATGTTCTCCTCGTGCAGCGTGGGTTCTCGCCAGGTTCTCCGGCTTCCTCCCACACAGTCCAAAAGCATGTTGAGGTTAACTGGTGATTCTAAATTGTCCGTAGGTGTGAATGTGAGTGTGCTTGGTTGTCTGTCTCTAAGTGTAGCCCTGTGATAGACTGGTTACCTGTCCAGGGTGTCCCCTGCCTTCACCCTGAGTCAGCTGGGATAGACTCCAGCCCCCCATGACCCTAGTGAGGATTAAGTGGTGTATAGATGATGGATGTCCTTGTAGATTAATCCAGAGCAGAAACAGTAATGGCAGCAAAAAAAAAACCCAAAACAAACTGAGTCAGTTTCAGGGCAGAAATAAGTTGTTTTTGTAATTTTTAATCAGTTGTCTCGAATTTAATCTTCTATCTGATCATATTTCCTGTTTTTCTTTTCAGTACATGCATCTGCACTCACAAAGTACACACTGTAGCATGCAGTATGAAATATGCATACAACTAAGTCTCACTACTTTGTCCTTATATTGCGGCTTAAGTTTTGACCGTCTTGCTCATATATCCAGTCTGCAGTGCTCTTGGTGGCTCAAGGTTGTTACTCGAGTGAGACACTGTGACAGATGTGATGCATCTTCTGCAGTGCGGAGGATTGTGGGTCAGAATGGCCAGAAAAGCATGCTGCCGTGCAAACTGCAAAATGCGACCGAATGCAGAGTTTTTCTCTGTAACAGTACATCTTTATGACTAAATAAGCAGCGCCAAACGGTGAGAGAGACAGAGGTTGACATGCCAAAATGTAGTCGACGTGCTCCGTCAGGATTGTGTGGGTTTGATTGGATCAAACAACCCACCAGCTGTCACCAGACTGTGATTTAAATCCTGATTGGTGCACAAGATTGTCTGATGTCATCTTTCCAACTGAGCCCTGTCAGTTTCCAACCAGAGAGAAAGAGAAGACAATCTGTCATGTGAAAAAAGGGTGTTTTCATGCAGAAACCATCACTCAAATTTTATGTCAGGTTTGGCTTAATCCAGAAAAAACATACAATATAAACAGGAACAAGAACTTAAGATCAGAAACAGAACAGTGTTCAGAAAATCCTCTTTGTATTGCATCCTGTTTTTTTATTTATTTTTTTGCAGCTAGAGATCACTTTTAGCCACGTTGAACCCTGATGTTGCTTGTAACTTTCCCACTCAACTGCTCAGGTCCAGAAATTATACTCATCTAAACATCAGTAGTAGAAAAACATGATGGAAAATATATCAGTGAGTCAACTGGAAACCTGACGTGATGCACTGCTGTTTACGTGTAACCAAACAACTCAAACTCTGCCCCGCAAACTCTGTTCTAGTCACGGACTCAGCCTGTCCATTAGGTCCTGACACAGTCTGACGTCAGAAGTGACCGGGCGAAGGTTGGAGCTACTTAACTTGAATGCTGCCATTTTATCCTACGCAGGGTACATCAGAGAGTACATTTCACTTTAACAGCTGCAGCTACCTGGCAGACTCAAAGTTAACATCCAACACACGCAATTAATTAAAGGATAGGTTCACATTTAGTCAAGTCTGCTGTCCACATTAACACCGAAGCAGATTTTGCTTGCTGTAATTATTCCTCTTGGGCATACTAGTCATTAAAAGATCTCTTTCCAACGCGCTTTCGAAGTCACAGTACCGACTTACATTCCGCTGTTGATAAGAAGATGAATGGGGCTTCAGCAGTGGAGAGACATTTAAGTAGAACAGTCCTACTTTTTGTCACTGCAGCTTACCAGGGGAACCCAGTACAGAAAGACAGGGAATTTTCTACAGTCACCCACTTAAGTCATATTTTTGCTCAAAGCAAGGATTTTGGATTTAGTCCCTCGTCACTTCAGTGCTGGGAGGTTTTATTTAATTTTTTATTTTTTTTTTGTCATGGCCAGCATGAACAAAATGAACACTGCAAGCAAAAAATGCTGCATACAAGTTTGTGTTTTTATGATTTTTATTTTTATTTTTTGCAAATTAAGAACATTTTGCTGATATTTAAATACTTTTCACTTAAATATAGGATCTAAATACTTCCAGAGTGTGCATACCTGAGACTAAAACTGCATATTTGTTCAATTGTTGATTCTGTACCTAAATAAGATTATGATTGTATTTTTTAGAAGAGTCTGAAACATTAATTTCTTATTTGTAACTTAACAACCATAAGCCAGTGAACCACAAAGCACAGGTCGGGTGCTGATTCCGGTAAATACCTGTTCTCGTAATTAAAACAGTGTTTTTTCTGTATCCAGTCTAACTCAATTATCAGCTGCAGCCTCGCTGTGTGTTGCCTCAGCAGGGTGTTAATCCACTCTGCATCGTTCACTCATCCAACATCACAACCCCTTCATCTCCCTCTCCTCCGCTGGGTTGCCATGGCGATGATACGGGTATTGCTTTTTTTCTGGGTTACTCTGTATTTGATCCCCGCTGATCTAATCTCTTTCTCTCTCTCTCTCTTTCCTGACCTCCTCCTCGGCAGGCCCTACTTTGAGATGAAGGCGAAGTACTACCTGCAGCTGGAGGTATGTGACGACTCTTCGGCTCTGATTTGCTTCCCTCCCAACCCCGCGGTCGCCTCTAAAGGTCATAAGGACGCTGTTCTCTCTTGCTGCTGTAGATGTAGCCCTGTTAGACCTTGAACAAAGGTTAAACAGCTTGACCATGAGCTGCTGTGACTTTTTTTTTCTGTTGTCTGCACACGCTGTTGATAAATCTGTGCTTCAGGCTGTAATCAGGCCGAAGTTGTTTTTCTCTGATTCGAGCACAAATTGCGGGTGTGAGCATTGTTAGGAACAAATAGCACCATAAGCATTTGTGTGCCATGCTCTGAGCTGCAAATGATCTAATTTGCATCAGCTAACAAGTAAAGTCAGCATTGGGTAATTGTGTGTGCTTCCAGGACTGTTTTAATAATGATCTGAAGAAAAACACCACCAAAAAGACACAGAGTTCAATGTCAAACTTTTCAGGAGGGTGGTTTTAAAAAGTTTGCTTCATGCTCCTTTGCAGAGGAGAGGCAGCAGCTGATTGACAGCAGTAACGAGGCATTTTCATGGAGTCCCAGAAACGGCATAAACTACTGTTTATAGAAACTCCTGCACTACAGATCCACTTGTCTTAAGTTGGTCCATGTGTCTAGTATGTTCCAGACACCTCAAGTTTTCCCCACAACAACAAAACAGCAAAGTTTTGATGTTGTACAGTAGCATATTCATCAGACCTTCATGTCTCGTCTGACTGCATCATTCAACACAGAAAAACAGCACGAAAGGCTACACAGTCTTGCCCAGCATGTTCTTTTGTCGAGGCTTTCTTAACTTCCTGCTTTTTCTAGAGTAGATACATATCTATAGATTATAAAGTTAATGACAGATCATAGATTTGAGTGTTGCCGCCTGGTAGCATCGTTGTCCATCCTTCATGACAACTCTTCTCTGTCTCACTCGTCGCCTCTTTCAGAACCTGAAGAAGAACGTCGACGAGCGGCAGGCCAAACTGTCTCAGGCCAAAGGCGAGTACAAGACGGCCCTCAGGAACCTGGAGATGATCTCCGACGAGATCCACGAGCGACGACGAAACTCGGCCATGGGGCCCCGAGAGCGCGGCGTCGGTGCCGAGGGCGAAAGTGTCTCCGGAGACGACATCTCCAGCTTTAAGATGGAGTCGGATGGAATATCCAGTGAGTACAGCACGATGGTTCTCTCTCTTCGTGTCATGGCGAATGCTGAAATGAGTTCCTACATTCTGCAGGGCTCGGGTAATTCTCCTGAGATAAAAGGCTAATTAGTAAAGGTTAAATCCTCCCATCTTCTTGCTCTGCTGTCGACCGCTGCAGTAACAGCTGCTCACCTGGTGGCTTTTTAAATGTCAGGGGGAGCTGTAATGAGATTTAGTCGCACTGGTGTTTTTATTTGGCCGCCTTTTGTATTAAACAGGGTCAGAAATAGATTTTTTTTAAAGGGTTGTTTTGTGGTAACGAGAAAACAAACAGTCTGGCTGTAGTCAGGCTGCTACTAGCACCGGTGGCATGTCTGTTAGAGACCAATGCTCTGGCCTGTTTATCTGCTCGAGAAATCAGCAGACAGCTACATCTTGTCTCCTTCACTGAATGTGATTCGTGGAAATTCTGATGAGAGTCAGGGTTTGAGAGGACTTCAAAGAAAACAGGAAAGTTGATGACCTTAACAGGCAAAAATTGAATTCGTTTAACCCATTAAGACCTAAGGCGCTGCCTAAACGCACACACACGCAGACACACACAGGTCGGATTAGGTCCTAACACGATACATGCGTAGAATTGTGTTTCAGCCAATTTCAGTCTGTTTGATGGGCTTGCACTCGCACATGCACGTGTATTTATAGATGCACGAAACCCCCACATAACCCTAAAACTGTCCAAAACAACTACTGACCTCAAGGTTTAATTTAAAACTAGTTGTAACCTAAGTCTGAACCCCTAAACAGCGCTTTATAGATAGATAGATACATAGATAGATAGATAGATAGATCCACGATTGCAAGGAGATGAGCTGCCCACTATGACTTGTCCAGTCACTTGGCGTCCCTGTCTGTGATGCTGCCTCTCCAGCAGACAGCAGCATAAGAGAGGATGCTCGCTACCACCGACTCATAGAACATCTTCAGCATCTCCCCACAGACATCAAATGATCTTACCTTCCTAAGAAAGAACAGCCGGCTCTGTCCCTTCTTGTAGATCACATCCACATTGGCCGACCAGTCCCGCTTGTTGTCCGGGTGCACACCTAAGTATTTATAGGTCCGCCCCCTCTCGATGCTGCAGCTGCGGATGCTAACAGGCTGCAGGGAGGGCCTGGACCTGCAGAAGTCTACAACCATCTCCTTGGTTATGGTGTCATTTTAAACATGTAGCCACACAGACATAAGCAAATGAAGAGTTCCAATCACTGTTTCAGCTGCAGAAGAAAATACAAAAACACAGAAAGCACAAATAGTTTGTATATTTACCTCCATTGTATACAATCGATTTTGAACATCACAAGCTAAATAAACTGAAATTCAAATGATTTGATAATTAGTTTTCTATGGATCTAATCTAAGGAATCAGTATTATATAGAAAACAGAAAATTCATCAATTACTCTACCAAGTACTGTCTGTCTAACACATTTCTTTTCACTTTCAGCTCATTTATTCTAAATACAACTGAACGCAGAATCACAGGACTCTACTAGGATAATGTAATTCCCCTATAGGTCCACGATTTGACCACTTGTTTAGATTAACTTCACTTCGTTTCCTGTGAAACTTAAGGTAATCATGTTTTTGTTTGGGTACTGCCATAGAGCAGAGGTGTGAATCACAGCTGCAGTGAATTCAAAATGCATAATAGGTTCACCCAGGATGTAAAATTTAAAGCTCTCTCTTCTGCTGTCAGGAGCACATGTGACAGAATTTTAAGCTTGGAGATGAAATATTTCTTTCAAATGGCAGCAGGACCTGGCATCTATTTTAGTTTTTTTGTTGTCCACATGCTTGTATCTTTGGCTTTTTGATCCAATCTATTGCTGCTGTTAATCTTTTCCTCTGATGACTGAGCCAGGAGGGTTACGCTTCACACAGCTGGGAGTCATGTCATTTTATCTATCGGAAATATAAATGGCATTTTCCAGGATGCCTGATATGGGTCTTCCTATTTTGCAACTGTGAATGAGTGAGCTTCATAGTGTATGTATTTTTTAGCAGTCCAGATAAGTGGAGTGTCCATACATGCAGAAAAAACTCTACAGCTGGAAGCAATAACTCTACAGAATATAGGTCTGCCTTTTGCATCCTTTTAGCTTATAGACTAGCGCGGGTGGCGTCACCATGGTAACAGTAGACACACTGCGATTACAAGGTAAGAGGGAGCATGCAGCTGAAAATACCAGCAGACACTGACGGTGCATCCATGTGGTTTGATTTAAATCGGGAAAATAATGTGATGTGACAGTTTAGTGTCCTCTCTGTTCTATTTATACGTCTGTTTGCTCACACTTCCTTTCTCTCTGTGTCACTCCTCCATTCCTTTAATCGTCCTCCCTCCATCTTTTTCTCCTCGTCTCTCTCCTCCTGTTGTTTGTCTGTCTCTCCTTTAACCTCATTCCCCTGGACTCATCTCATACTCTTTCCAATCATGTCTTCTTTTCTTCACTCCATCTCTTCCTTCCGTTTTGTTCTTTCATTCTTATTTTCCTCTTTCATTCCTGCCTCTCTTTCTCCTTTTCCTATCACTTTATATTTAATATTTCCTTCTGCCGTACTCCTCTTTTCCTGCCCTACCACTCATTCCTCATTTCCCTTTCTCCTCCTGCAGTGGCCTCGGTGTGTTTCGACGACGAGCCGGGCGGCGGAGGCAGCATCATGTCTGAAGAAGACTCAGAGACTCGCTCCACCTGCAGCCTGGGTTCGTCTCCCAGCAGCCCCCAGGAGGTCCTGTCGCCTTGTCCCTTTGCCAGCTCCTCTTCCTCCTCCTCCTCCTCCTCTTCCTCCTGCATGTCCTCCTCCGCTTCTCCGTCTCCCACTCCGTCCTCCTCCTCCTCCACGTCCTCCCCAGCTCCTCTGTCCAGGCCCTGCAGTCTGGACCTCCCCAGCACTGTGTCACTGTCCGACTTTGGCCTCATCTCGCCGGTGCTCGGGCCTCGCAGCGAATGCAGCGGAGCGTCGTCACCTGAATGCGACCTGGAGAGAGGTGGGTGACGGGTAAAAGAAAGTTGTTTTGTGAACGTGTTTCAGTCTAAATCTAGACCAAGAGTGAGGAGGTATGATTAACAAGTAGAAAAATATCAATTTATCAAATCGTTTCTTCACAGTGTTGTAGATGTGCTCATAAATAACCACATTAGAGGCTGCAAAGCTGCTTCCTCTGACATTTAGAATACTTGGATAATTCTATTGTGTTTGAAACAAACAAATCTTTAATTTAACACCAATAATATCACCGAAAAGCAACCTACAAAATCCTGTACATAATATTTAATATCATGAAATCAGGCTTTGAAAATGTAGGCCAAACATCCGTAAAAATAAAAATGTGGAAAATAGACTGCAGCAAGCTACTGCTGGCTGCAGCAGCTAGGAGGCTGATCGTCCCATCAGGGCTGAGGGATCAGTTCTATGTTGCTTGTCTGGGTTCGGGTCAGTATGACTCCAACACAGGTCTAAAATTAAAACATTTTTTCAAACTTTTGAATACCCTATAGGATGCAGTTTAACCCAGTGAATCCTGCAGAAACCAAAAACACCAACCTGCCATACACCAATATTAGATGATAGTTCTAAATGCGTCAGTAGAAAGACTTCAACTAGACTTCAGTTTCTGAATATAAACACTGCTGTCCTCAAAGGACTGTCCTATTTGGGTGCCGGCGAACTGCTGAGTTTTGTCGAGGGACATGGCTCGTCTGCGCCGTGTCGTCGTCTTGGGGTTTGGTTGTTTAGTCTTTTCTAAAGATGTAGGTCTGTGCACTCCTCGCTGTGTATACAACATTCCTCAGTTTTTGTTTGGGTGTCGTATCCTTTGAGTAACCCAGTTTTAGTCTCACAGTGTTACTGGGTCTGATGTGCACCAAGAAAATCCTTCTAAGTTTCTCTGACATGTTCTGGACAGAGAAGACAGATGGTTTGAGAGAGAAATGAAGGAGGCTGTTTGTGTTAAATATGTCTAAGTAGCAGGGCAGATAGCTGAAACATTTTTCAAATGGTCATACAAAGATCAAATTTGGCATTACTTAGACGCCGCCCATTTGAGAGAAACTTTGCTGTGTGACTTTAAAAAGGCGGCCATAAGCAGGACCTTTTTAGTTGTTTTGAAAAATATTTTTTAACTTAAATCCAATTTTTATGACGCTGTTTCTTAAGCTTTTCACACCTTAGTAGTCAATTCTGACAAAATGTCTGAAGATTCACAGTCATCCAGGTCATGGAACTGATTGAGAGGTGAAACGTCTTCAAGGAACTCAAGCAAGTCCAGTTGATACGATTAAACTACGAGAATCTGGCAACAAAAGCATCTGTGAACCCTGTAAACTCCATCGGACATGGGATCACATTTTGGAAATAGCCACCATCTGGAAAATTTGTATGGGTAACATTTGTTTTAATGAAAAATCCCTGGATGGCGTGTTTTGCACCAAGTAATAAAATAAACTGCATTGTACCTAAAATTCTTCTAAAAAAAACAAACTTTCAGAAAAAGTCCCAGTAAAACAAAATAGCCTCAGCAGGCAACACAAACTGCAATATCCTCTGTTGTCCTCGAACACATGCTGCAGATATGGAAAAGCTCACAACCCCCCCACTCCCCAAATAAAAACTTTAATAGCTGTAAATGAGTTCATCCGTGTGCAGCGCACGTCGTTACGCTGGGGAAAGAAAAAGCAACATGGAAGTGAGATGGATGATACTGGAGGATTCTATTCTGGGTAAGACGTACGATCTCCCGCTACCTGCTCGGCTCACACCTGCTCCACCAAAGGAGACTATTAGTCAAAGTGACAGCGAGCCGAGCGCCTCTCCTGCACAGAAAGAAACTAATCTGCAGATCCTCTTGGAGAGAGGAAATAGTTTACTACATTCCAGTCAGTTCTAATGAAGACCTCAGAGCTGTGTCGCCGTCTGGCCACTTTTAATTCACTTTCTGTTAGCGTCGTTGTTTGTGTAGCTTCCCCGTGTGGCTTCACGTTTTCTCTTTCAGTGGGCTATATATAGCTGACTTTTGGTTACTTTTATATTTGCAGTGCAGCCTGTTTTATTGTATCATGCAAAACACATTCTTTTCTCCATTAAAATATCTAGTGATCCAGGATTGCTTTTTAAATGTAGTATTATTTAAATCGGTGCTGAGCAAAAGTGTTTTAAAATGAGAAACTGTAGGAACCACCTAATATTAGCAACAACTGTTATCCAGCATTGGCTTGTCACAGATTAGTGTTATAAAGGTTTTCCAAGTCCTAAATATTCAGGTGACCAAAGTATGATGAGTATCCAGCAGGTAGAACATAGACCAGAACAATTCATTATTATCCATGTAGTCTGTGTGTCCAGTAGCACACAAGGTTAATTCATAACAATAGATTTAAATCAGTGCAACACAAACCCAAATAAATGTGAATAAATGTTGATATTTCAGTGGGAGCTTATCTTTTTTTTAACCTTCTGTAGTTCCAACCAGCACCTGCTTCACATTGTGGGACAAAAAATCCTTCAAACGGTGAAACAAGGGTTGTAAATAATCTACATGTCATAAATATCAAAACCTCTTTCTCAGTTGGTACCATGGTCACATCTGTTAAAACAAAAAAAACGAATGTAAGGATGGCATTAGTTGTTTTTTTAAAAGACGAAATCTTACATTTTAGTTTTAAAAACTGATGCTTTTTGCACGCTTGTCTCACGGCTGGTTGCACATAGAGACCAGTTGTGTTTGTTCAGCTCGGAGGATGCTTGTATTAATTAGGTTTCTTAACACCGTGTCTCCATTTGCACACAAATTAATTAAACAGCACTTGCTCAACATGCTAAATTGTGGCGTTGATATATATTTATTTCTCTCTGTTTACCATGTTGGAGCTCCTTCTGCTTCCTGCATGAAGTGAAAAAAGAACCTTTCAAATCTTCTTGACTTTTCTTGAAAACAGAGGAACTCTAAATACTTCTGAGCCATAAAGAGATCCTGGCATGTCTCCTACAGACCTGGGAATTCTACAATCAGTCATAACCAGCAGGACTTTGCCTTTTGTCTATTATTTCTATGACTCCTGGGTGAATGTTTTCTTTGTAATATTAATGCTCAACATGCTCACGGTTAAAAACACCATCACATATTAACCGAGCTCCTGTGCTGCAGGTGACCGGGCCGAAGGCGCAGAGGGCGATCTGGACAACGCTCCAGCCAGCAGCAACAACAACAGCTCCACGGCCAGCACCAAGAAAAGCTTTAGCCTGGAAGCACGCTTTAGCTTTCTGAACCTGCGACGCCCACGAGCCGCCAAAAACACAGACTCCCAGAAGACGGAGCCTGGGCAGCCCTTGGTGCTGGTCAAAGGAGTCTAAGGACCACGAATAGGATCCGTTGGAGTTGGACTCTGCCTTGACTCACTCTGAACCGAACTCTGAGGAGCTGTTTATAAGCTAGCTGCCACTACTGCACTTCATTCCCGAACTCCACGCTCAGAGGGAGACTTTGAATGTCATAGCTGGTGTGTATAAAGTTTCTTGTACATGTCGGCAGCGATGCGACTCCCATCTCCTCCGCTACAGACACTGCACCTTTTGGACTCTCATACCAGAGAAGTAAAGAGCACTCTTATGTTGAAAATGTATTCAAGGTGATGAAAGTATTGAAAAAAAAAAAAGAAAGAAAAAAACAACATAAATTATTCATGTTTTTTTTTTTTTTTTTCCACTGAAAGCTGCAAAAGCTTTTTGTCACAAACGCTCACGTAGCTGCGACTTGGGGGATCATCTGAAACCTGCTCTGGTAGAAGTGATTATCAGAACTGTTAACTGGCACATAGCATGCTGTAAACCATGCAGAGGAGTTGTTTCTGCTTAGTCCACGGAAGTACAGTCACATGTGGAGATGTTTCATCAATAACTAACCTCTGAACTTCTGCCGTATACTCCTGCTGTGTTTGATATATGACAATGTTGTATTTTCTGATGTTATGTAAAGTGTTCGGGTTTTAGGCCTCAATTGTTAGGAATTAAAAAAAGAGTTAACTTCCCATAAAAACTACAAAGTACAAAAGTAAAATTTAGCCTAGTTTTTAAATTTTCATTTTTCTGTTATACGCCCTCATGGCAAAGTTAATGTACAATCTGTCCTTTAATTAGAATGTAATCAGTATAAATACATAAACAAGTTGATGCAAAGTGAGTTTCAGCTAACTTGCTCCTACATATGAAAAGGTAAATTCAGAAGAGTTTCAACACATGCTTGCTGATTCCAGTGCACACAGAGGTTTTCTTACATCAGCTGTATTTGTTTTGACATGACAGGTGACTTAGGGTGGTTAATATTAGCACATTTTAGGTAGATGTTGCCATGGAATTGCCATTACTGAGTCAGTTTGCTGACTTTAGTCTCCATTTGTCCCTGTTGAAGCAGCTCACAGGTAAAGAGCAGAAAGGTTTTATAGTAAAAAAATAAAACAGTAAGTGAACACCAGGCCGTCGTCTTGTCAGCAGAGTTTCAAGTTTGTTGAATCAGTAACATCAACACAGAAAGCCAGAAAGTTATTCAGCAATTACGACAGAGTATTTGTTAGTCAGCTTTTTAAAATAATAATTTATTGGATTTTGGACTGTCGGATGGAAAAAAAAATTATATTAATTAATGAAAAAAAATATTTAGAATGATTTGATTTACTGAACATTTAACTGACAAAAATATGATGTTCACTTTTACACCATGACAGCATTGAAACGCAGTAAAAAAAACTGGATTTTCAGCTGATGTTAAGTTTCTTATTTAGGTTGAAACGATGCATTTCTGCATAAACAGACTGAATTTGGTTGCTTTATCTGAAAACATTTGAGTGTTCGTAAAACAGTTCAGCATCTTGCTTTTCCTAAACACATAACGGTAGGTGACAGATTAATAGTAGTGTTACATGGCAACCAGCAGTTTGCTTTTATCTACAGAAAATCTGCCCTGACATGAAAATAACTTTGCAAATTAATGCCCATCTTGTTCATCATTTGGAGGTAATTTGAGCAAAAACTGGATTTGGTTCGAAAAGGCAGATCCGTAATGGGCTGCACTCACCTATGCAATGAAAAACTGTTGAGGTAGCAAACACATGCAATGTCAAAAAAGTTTTCATTTACTGTTTACACTGGTTGGTGTGAAGGACTGCTGTATTCCTGAGCTGTTTAAAGTTGATAATGGATAATGTTTTAAAACCAATCATCCTTCTAGGAAAAAAAAAAACATGAAAATCAAGGCCTATTGAAATAATCTTTGCAGACAATGTGATCAGCCTAATACCATTGCGGTGTGTCCCTCAGGGCTCCATACTAGAGTCTCTACATTTTCCTACAAACCCCTAAAAACTAGCGGACGTATTGGAGGACAAAGCAATACAAGGACGTAGACGTTGAACTTCACGCCTACATCTCGTGACGGACACTCACTGTAGAGCTTTTGGACGCGAGTATAAAAGGAAATTTTAATTCATTTTTCTGATTGTGAACAGAAAAGCTCATCGGTGTTGGACTGTGTTACTGAAGATGTTTACAGGCTGAGACACCAATAAGCGAACTGTAATGTGGAACTGAATACTTTAGGCCTTGTTAAGGAATTACTTTTCAACCATGTACCCACTGTATGTTTTTTGTTTGTTTTTTTTATTGCCTGTTTGGATGCCATGTAACGAGAGAAGTAGCTGGAGGCTTCACCCAGTTTGGTTTTGGCTTTACTCGGTGAAACCAGTGATAACTACTACTGGCTAGAAGACGTTTCATTTGTGTTTGAGCCGAGAACAGCATCTAAGGTTTCTTTAAGGAGCAACAGGAACAAAATATTCCTTAAAAGTAAAGCTTTTTTTTTTTGTCATATTACTTTTGTCTCTCAGTGGAAAAAGGATAATGCTGGTGATTGTCCATATTTTTCTTGTCAACGAAAACCATAAGAACACCAAAACCAGTAAAGCGTCCGTTGGTTCCTTCTGAAGAAAAAAAATACATATTTTCATTTTTATAAGAGACTCAGAACTAATTCAAAGCAGCTGGCCATTGAAGTAGGAATAGTTTCTCTGTATGGGACTATTTTCAGTGGCAGATTAAAGGACATTTGGTGTTCTACTCATTATTTAAGACAGTGGGAGGATTTATGCATCCATGACATCAAAGAAACACGTTGCCCAGGGCAACAGCGTGGCTCGCTGATGCTTTTTTTTTTTTTTGAACACTGAACCTCTGTGGCACAGAAACATGTGGTACAAAAGGCTCTGGATGCACACAGTATGCCTATTAGTAGCTTTTATTTATTTATTTTTGACAGAAAGATATGAATAATCACCAGACTGACCCTTGAATCATGTTCCATTGTGCTGTTCGTTGTCTGTTCTCTGTCACATGACAAACGCCACGAAGCAAAGAATGCAGTTGGAACGTGATGCTGGTCTGGTCATCTGTAGAAAACAAACTGTTTTGAAGTAACTGGAGAGCATCATTTCTTAATTCTTGGACTGTGATCTTGAGAGGTTTAAGTAATCGGAGGGCAAGAATTTCTCAACTGTAGAATCACTGATGGTTCATTTTCCTGGTGCCTACAAAGCTATGCAGAGCAGGTGATCAGAACAAATAGACAAATGTTAAACCCTTGCCCTTGTTAGTAGTGAAGGAAGACTGGTTTGCAGCCTTTCGCCTCCTGTTATCTTTCCTGGGTCTGTGTATTACGTGTGAACAAACTGTGACATGACGTGTATAGCTCTCTGTATAATCTGTGTCACTTTCTGATGTGCGGTTGCCGACCGGCCTCCCCTCTCGTAGCTGTTTGTGTGCAGCAGCGGGTGTCTCAGTCCGCTGCGTCGTCTCTCGGCGGCTTACAAGCTTGTGCCTGTTTTTCAGATGGAGTAAAATAAAAGCGATGATTCACTTCAGCGCCGTCCCGCCTCATTTGCACGTGCTCTTGAATTAGCTGTTAATCTTCTGAGGCTGCAGCTGTGATGCTGAAGTCGAGCTGTTCGGAGAGGTTAAGGTTTCTTTAAATTAAAAGAAGGATGCTTCCTCTTAGTGATTTAAATGATTAAAATTAAGCGATCTGACTTTAATGAACACATTAAAAATCAACCAGCGTGTGTCTTGAGACAGCCTGGAACTGATCTGATGGTGACTGCATTTGCATTTACATCTATTAAAACTGCATTCTGTTATGTTCTTTAAAATGAATCTTTTCAGGATGTGTGTCCTTAAAACCTCCTTCTTTAATGATCTTTGAAGCAGGTTAGCTCACCTAAATTACCAGAATAATTTGCCTCCAGTTATCAAAGGGGGGCTGCAAGGTGTCTCAGTGGTTAGCACCATCGCCTCGCAGCTGAAAGGTCGCCGGTTCGCGTTCCAGTGAGGACACCTGGGATCTTTCTGCGTGGAGTCTCCATGTTCTCCCCGTGCAGCGTGGGTTCTCTCCGGGTTCTCCGGCTTCCTCCCACACATTCCAAAAACATGTTGAGGTTAATTGTTGATTCTAAATTGTCCGTAGGTGTGAATGTGAGTGTGCTTGGTTGTCTGTCTCTAAGTGTAGCCCTGTGATAGACTGGTTACCTGTCCAGGTGAACCTGCCTTCACCTTGAGTCAGCTGGGATAGACTCCAGCCCCCCATGACCCTAGTGAGGATTAAGCGGTGTATAGATGATGGATGGATGGAAATTTCAAGGCAATCTACCCCCTAAAATGTTGAGATCATTAAAGCAACTTAATTATCCATGTTTTGATATTAATAATCAGCCTTGCATTAGAGCTGAGACATGAATCTGAGAGAAATACGTCAAAACATGAACAAATAAAACCATAACCGTCTCTGTGGCTGGATGCCACTTCAGGTAAGAGTTATAAATTTTATTTTTTTTTTTTAGTTTTGTGTTGTAGAGCCAAGAGACCAAACTTTGTATCACTGATCAGATTTCTAGTGACTGTGAATCTTTTAGAAAAGCCCCAAACTGTCATGAAAACATTCACAGCTCAAAGTGAGGCTGATGTATTCAACATTTAAGATATCCTGACACCTACATAGAGAATTACATTTCAAGTCTCATCAACTTTAACTTTTGCTCATGTGCTGAAGATCACCACTGGTGCCAAGTAGTCTGACATTTAAAACTGCATCTGGATCAGATGAGACGTTAATTCAAAAGAAGTTCTTCCAAAGAAAAGTACAGAATCTTACCCTATGAAGCACATTACTAAAGACTCTTTCATAAAAGCATCTTATTAAGTTTTCAGGCCTATTAAAGAGCCTTCCAGAGATGACTAGAACATGAAACCTAAGAGGTGCTTCGGTTGCCATGTTGTGACGGTGGATCAGCAGACGGATGTGCGTTGTCGTTCGGACACGTGCTCCCAACAGCCTGCTTGGCTCTAATTCACTTACCCCACGTTTGTTTTCGGTGTTTTTCCGGTGGCTCTCTTCCTCTTTGCACACTTCACGCTGACCTTTCTGCTTGTTTCGTTCTCGTTAGCATTGCTGACATCAGGGGGATTCTAACGTCAGATTAACCTTCAAGTCTTGGCAGCATGACGCCCGTGTTTGGCAGAACCAACAATCACTCTGTCCTGTGTGATAAACAAATTCTGTCCTCTAGTTGTGAAGCTGTGTTTGAAGAGAGAGAAGACTGAGAGGGTTTGGTGTTGACAGATTCTACAGCCAGAGCAGAAAATGTTTTTGATCTTTGATCCCCACTGTGACCAGAACCATAATATGTTTTTTTTTGAGGAAATACTTTCCTAAGGTGTTTTCTACCACATGCATTGCACTATTTGCACTACTTACTACATCTTGACACATTTTCACGACATTCTGAGACGTGACCTTTTTTGCGAAAAACGACATGCTATAGTATGACTTTTTTTT